CTTGCTCCAGTATGTGCTCCAAAGAACCGTACAAGTTGCCCGCTTTTGAGACAAAGTTCTGAAACACATACGGCCGCGTTTTCCTTGGCTTGCCTATTCCTTGGCCCTTTCCGTGGCGAACGTTATCACCGAGAACTCTCGGAGCCTTGATCAATAGCCACTCGCAATTTCTCCTCTTGTCGGGTACATCCTCAGCATCCCCTAACGACTAACGAATCTATCCGAAGGATCCTGTCGAGAATCTCGTCCAACGACAAGGACGAATTCTTCTTTGAGTCGTACCTTTCGTCGATCCGCAGAGCCAAACCAATCCGGTGAAAATAATAGAGGGGCGCAGGTTTGAAGAGCGTCTTTTGTCGGTCTCCAGTGCGTTTTATTTCCACGCTCGCTGGCTACGAAAATAAGAGGCTCTGACGAGTTTAATCCGGGAGAAACGACGGAGACGTCGGAAATACAGACGCGAATAAAGCCGCGGATCGTCCGCGAAAGTCTCTCTCTCTTTCTCTCTTTCATTTACAAGTACCGTCTTCTTTTACAAGTGCCCCTTCTTTCTCTCGCGCTCGCTCGCGGCGTGCAGAATATTTTTCACGACCCGCTGCCGGAATAAACATCTCCCTGCTCCTCTCCCTGCCATCCGTGTAAAATAATCCGAATTTTCCAGGTCGCCTACGACCCGCCGCGAGACTACTTGCTATTCATGAAATTTAAATATCACCACCAACGGCGGGGGCGGTATCGAACGAACGTCGTGAATGTGAATGTAACGCAACCGTTTCGCGACCCATCTGATTGGAACGGGACCCGCTGTCGTTTGATTCGCAATCGTCGCCGCGATTTCCACGTTCGTTCAGTCGATAGACCTCGTCTATCGACGAGTAAACGCCAATCAATAGGCGAAACGTTTGGCGAGGTGAAAAGTATTCCGCGCGGATAACGGTCATAACCATCTGCTGGGCCATCTGCTCGGAAAGCTGACGCCGATCGCGCGTACGTACGTACGTCTTCTCTCGGACACTTTAACTTTTGCCTCCATTAGACCACCCGGTAATGTACTTTCGCCCCGGTGTGATCTGGATTGTGGATGATCGATTTTCGCAGAAAGATTGCCAGTGCAATGGAGCGTAGGACGGATGGCGATAATAGCATTTCAGTAATATCATTTCAATGGTATTTTATGGTACGGCGTTTAAACGCCGAGGATATTGAAAAGTCACCTCGATCGTTCCGTACTACAAGCATTTTCTTATTTTATTATCGATCGATGGATAGATAAAATTGCACTTGCATTTTGCAATACAATTGTTAATGTTGTATATTGCGCTCGTAGATTATTAGGTATAGATGTACAGGTATAGATGTTATTATGATTAAATTTCTTCAGTTTTAAAATATAGCACTTGTCCCAAGGTATCGACCTTTTATACAAGGTTTCGTAACTTGTGGGGCCCACTTTGGGAGCTGATTGTACGCCTAAAAATAATGAAAAATATCTGTCTTCTCCACAAGTACACTAATAACTAAAATTCTCCCTGTACACTAATTATCCACTAGACTAATAAATAATATAATTTATCAGCGTGATCTACGATTTTTGCAAATGGCAACAAACAAGAAACGAGAGTCAGATGGAAAAGTCCAAACAAGATGGATGTTCGACCACTCGATCGCCACTGTTAATAATCGACGATACATTAGATGCGAATAGAGAGAAATGGGAGGTTCTCTCGAGTGATCTCGACGTCAGTTCCGCGAGAGTCAACATCTTCTCCAAGCACGCGGAGTAGAATCGAACAGACCACGCGATCTCTTCTGAAGAACCACTCGGAAAGAGGTTCGGATTGGCCCTTTCGAACCTCCGGTTCACTTAGGTTAAACACTCGTGCGACAGATTTTCCATCGTTCTCAATCGATCCTCACTGCGAACGAACTGCTTTACTTTTGCGGTTGGACTTTATGGATGTTTGTTTTAAGTTGATTAGTTCTTCTTTCCTTTTCTTTTTTTTCCTTCGTTTTATCGTTAACCGATTTGTAGCGGCTAGCAGATGTCGGAGAAACTCGGTTTCTCAGACAAGAAGTTAGGAGAATTTACGACTCACGAGTCGCCTGCGCTATTGAATTGGAAAGTTTAGTTCTCACAGTGCGTAAAGACCAGACGTTTCGCACTTGTAGTTTTAGAAATTCGGCCACAAAACATCTCTGCGAAGCGTCGTAAAACTCTAGGTCTCCTAAGGGCTCATCCAGATCTGCGTCTGGGAAACACTTGGAGAAAGTAAGTAAGAGGCTACATCGCCATAAATCAGGGAAATCGGTCCCCTCGGAGGAAAGCGCATAACGAACGCAAGGAGTAGGCGGTGTAATTTCGTGACAACCTAATTGGCTAAAACTCAAAAAACGACTCGGTCAATTAGAGACGGGCACCGAGTTTTCCTAATAGCAAAGAAAGCAGCGAGCTTTTAGAAAATTCGGAGACATCCTCGAGACGTTAACTTCGACCAATCGTCCACGAGTTCACCGCGTTTCCCGAGTTAGTCGCGACACAGTATAACCTTGTACATAAACGTAGTTATACACGAACGAGTCGCTTTCCAATCTATCATCTTAAACACTGGCCACAAACAAACATTCCTAAAAATTCTTTATCGATAAATTCCACGGCAGTTTGAGAAATTAGCAGTTCACTCGTGTCTACTCGGGGTTTTAAACTTCATTTAACTTGCTCCCCGAGTGAATCTCATGTAGAAGCTAGAAACCTTTTACTTTCTTCTGCAGTTTAATCCTTCTTCTGTAGCGTAGTGTCAGTAAGTTATCGCGAAAGAAAAAAAAAAAAAAAAGATAGACTTGTAAAACAAAGGCTGTCTTTGCAACTTTGTTTCATTGATCATGAATTTTAATATTCAAAATTAATAAGCAATACCGTGAATTTGATATTAATACTTGAATAAATAAAGTTAATACTTTAACTTTAAACGTCGTGAAATAAATAATAATAAAAAAATAAAAATAAATAATAATAAATAAGTGATATTTTAATAACGTTGAAAAAAAGTAACATCTTAGCATTTCAAAAAATGAATAGAAACATTCGCTTGTCGCACAATTTTCTTTCAACTTCATTCCGTTCTCGCGAGAGATTAGCAATTTCAAAGTGGCGTAATCACTTAAACTGAAAGTAATAAATGGAAACAGTTGATGGAATCGCGACAGAGTTTCGACGAAGTTCGAGGTGTGTATTTCCGACGTGATTATATGCGAAATCCTAACGGAAATAGCCAGGACACGAGGGTAACAACGAGCCCTCGCATAAACGCGTGCTTCTCCCACTGGCTATGTAATTCGAGCGGTGAAACAACTTGCAACACTATTCGAGCAATACACGGCGGACCAAAGTTTGGCCCGACAACAATGGCACTCGCTGGAAATGGCCCCGGCGCGAATTCTCCCGCCCCCGTCGAAACGCGAACAACGTTTGCCCTGGAAACTATTTTTCTCCGTACTCCCTTTTTCTTCTTTCCGCGCGTTTTATTGTCCGTTCTAAGTTTAGTTTCGAAAGTTCCATCCAAAGTCTGACACGGACGAGTGATACGGCGTCCGTTGCGATTTCGCGAATCGGAGATTGCCGTTACGATCCAATATAACGTTATATTTTTAACGATGCAGACGCCGTAGATTCTTATTCTGACACATAAGGCAGACTTTTATTTTCGTAAAGTAGAAAAATGTCGGATTATTGTTGTCAGTTTTGCTATGACAGATATCCTCGCGTGAGGAGATATTTTGTTTATTCATTCGTTGCTCTTGACAAATATAATTTTTTAAATTTTCTTTAGCGTAATATCAGCGAGTCAAATCTCACAAATTCCAAATTACCTGACTGTTCTATTAAAAAGGAAAGTTATAAAATTGTGAAGCAGAAATCTGTAATCTGTATTTTGTTAATCTTGCTAATCAAATGTTATCAATTATCAAACTAAGATGCAAGAGTAAACCGTGGTCTAATTTTCAAGTAATTACACTATATCATCATCGAAGAGAGGAGCAATTTATCTTGCAACCGAATGAGGAGTGTGTTGTCTGACAAGGCACGTACCCTATCTACTGCAAACGAACTGGTATGCGGCGCGTGTAATTTTCAATATACTTGACTTCGATGAAAAGTAAAGATTAGAAAAAAAAAGTAGGTTCTCCTTAATGAAAAGGGGCACGAAATACAATTTAGATTTCACAGAAGATCACTGAAGTGAGATTACGTAACGCCGTGTGTGTATAATCTACTTGATCGCATTGGCGTTTGATTAAGAATGTACAAGATTTCCAAGCAAACAAAAGGCGCGACGAAATATGGGGTTACAAATTTGCGTGGGAAAATGGGATCTGAAGAATTTATGGGTAACGAGATATTGATGGAGTATCGTGAATTATAAAAGTTGGAACACAACTTCGGACGCGGGTAAATTACGACGCTGTAAACTCAGTGGCAAGAGGCTCTACCCAGCTTAGGAATAAACTTAGAGAACTATATCCTTGATCTAAAAAAAAAAAAAAAAAAGGAAGAAGAAACTTGCTGTGTACGAAATAGGCTAATCTCTTCGATTTCTTCTTCTTTACGTATTCGTTCGTGTATAGAAATATTAGGTTACTTGCTGTCTTTTTTTTTTTCAGAATTGAATGAAATTGAAAATTTTTTATTTTTCAACTCCCTTGGCTGGTCAATGCTGGGTTTGTTACATAATTTGTACAATCAAAAATTTTATTATATTATATTTTTTTGGCAGATACGATCATTATTGATTAATTCGCCGCGATGCAAAAAAGGAACGTGTTAATTTCAGCCATACATGAACGCATGTGTTTCTAATAACACGTGCAATTTTCCCGTCAACAATTTCGAAAAGCACATTATCACAATCCAAACTTGGACTCTGTATCCACCAGCGAAAAGATTCCATTTCTTCCACAAACGCACGTTTTACTAATGAAAGAACGAATAATTTCTGTTGCAGGATCGCGAGTTCGTGGAGATGGAGGTGCCCTACAACGGTGCCCCGAAGAGGCCAGGCTCGCCGTCGCCCCTGACCTCACCCGCGCACAGCACTGCCTCGAGGGGCGGCCTGCTGCACGCCTGCTGCGGCCGCTGCTACCCCCAACGTTACCAGGTACGCGGTCGCCGTATTCTCGCCTCGACGACTTCCATAAGCGAGGGTCCACCCTCGCTTTCATCCCATCATTCGCAGCCGAGCGGTCAGCCGGCCCAGTCCCATTACCAGCCGGTTGACCCGAGCACGGTGCCGAATGTTGCATTTAACGTGCCCGGTGACAGTGATCGGCAATGTCGCCAGGGCACCAGCTCCCCCAGCCCCTACAACGAGACGAGGGTGTGAGCCGAGCTCGGGACAGCGATCCCATCGAACCGTTCGTTCCTTTCAGCTTGACCCGCCGTCGAGATTTATTGGTCTGTGCAAGTCGCGAGTTTCCACCCTGTTGCCGCACCCCCTGCGTTTCTTCGGCGAGTTCTTCGTTCGAGATCTCCCCGGAGTGAATTCTTCACTCGAGAGAGTTTCAGTTTCAGATTTCAGGGAGATGCTGAATTTGGTTTTGATTAATTGGCGCGATTGTCCAATTTGTCCATTTGCATTTTATTCGAATTCCATGTGGATGGAAGTCTCGCGAATCGAAATCATATCATAGAGGAGGTACGAGGATGTCAGGGACCTTTGTTTGCCTCGTGGTCTCGATCACGAGGCGACGAGAAGACGTTGTCTCGTCAGTAGAAGACTGAGCGTTCCATATCTTAGGGGGACTCGACGACAGCCTGGTCCCATGGACTGATCGATCGGTCTAACTTCCGACACTAATTTCGATCGTCTGGGCCTAGTCTGTGTATTACGAGGGATCTTCTCGAACTCTTGAGGTTCTTGCTCTCGTTGTTCTCGTTAGATTATTAGACTTCGAACTCTTCGATTCATCGACGACAAAGCGGTTCGTGTCGATCTTCGTTGCACCGTTCGATCGAACGAATCTGCCTCCGCTCCACCGACCAGAGATTGACGCGTACGAATCCGGTGTTAGAACCGAAACAAAGTTTGTGTTCCGATCGAGGAGCCAGCCTGTGTCCTAGAATTCGCTCGAGACTGGATCTCGACGATCCGAGCGATCGTTTGTGGCTACGATTCGGTCAACGAGTCGCTTCGAGATTAATTCCCGGGATTCGATTACGTATTCAAGTCGTCTCTTCACTTGGAACTAGCGTGGCCCGAATTTACTCGAACTTACTTGGTGGATTGGCCAAGTTACAAGTACGTAGCAGCAACGCCGCGTTAACTGGCCGAAAATGCGAAAGAAATTTATTAACGTTCATTTTTGAACAACTGATTAAAGAAAAGGACCGATGCAACAAGATCGAAAATTCCAAATCGAAATCTGAAATCTAAATTTCGTAACTATTTAATTAATCACTGGTGAAATTCCATTTACATAGAACCCTCGTTTGTTTGAACTAAATTTTATTTAATGCTCGACGAAGTGAACTCTTGTACGTCTAGTACGTAGAAGAATCAATGGACTTTGATTAAATCAATTATTTGCACGAGCATGCACGAAAAGAACGAAGAGAGTTCGATCGTGTATTCTTGGCCGTCGGGAATTGAGGATTCACCTTGGAATAAATATCATCCGCGATAACGTCTGAAAAATCCGTGGCCAGTTAGCAAATCGTCTGCTGCACTCCAGACACACAACGGATTGTTAACAGATCGTCCGAACAAAACGCGGAACCGCGACAACGAAAAATATCGTGGTTGTTCGTGACATCGAATCCCGGTTGTTGAGCACGGCGCCCCGTGGTGGGTGTCGGGGCTCTCCTGCGCAAGCACTGCCAGCGAGGGTTCGAAATTTCGAACTCGTGTGCACTCCAAATTTCACTTTCCTCGGTGATATTACTCCCTCGCTATTTATATCGCCACGCGTGTGTGCACGCGCACGCGCTACGGATCATTCGGCGCGCTCGATAAGAAAGACTAGACAAATCTATCGTTTCGAACGTTGCCTGGGACGGGCGAATCAATCGGACAGATATACGTACGTTCTGTATCTGTTTCTCTCGCTTGGATTTCTTCCTCCCTCGGCAGAGATCCGTGCTCGCTTTTCCTTCCGTGTTAAAAGAATCCGTGTTGTAGGAGATGTCGTGTAGCGAATTCGAAGAAAGGAGCAGGCGCCAATCGAATAGAATGTAGGAGGCGAAGCGATCGAAGAGAACCGCGGTTTATCGGTTCGCGTCTCTTCGAACGCTCAGCTCGGCGAAAAGCAGAAAATGTCGAGAGAATGGATATTGCAGTCTGCCGTTCTCACGATTGCCGGCAGCTTTCCTATCGCGTCGCGCGATAAAATAGAGGTAATAAATAAAAGAGACGAACGTAGAACGCAGGTGATACTTGGAACTTCCCCAAAATCCGTTCGATCGGATGGAAAACGCTGGGAGCCTCTCGGAGGCTTCTCTGCTTCGTCGTTCGAAGGTCCGTGTTTCTCGAGGATCTCGCGTGTATCTCCTCCGTGGCATTTCGCTCCACGCCAAAAATCGACGCCAGAATCGAAACGAACACGCGGGGGAATTCGCGTGCGATCGCAGAATTATGGTGCTTTTTCTTTGTGATACGTTTTTTCTGTGATCTGCTTCTTCTGTTTCGCGGGGGAGGAGAGACGAAAGCGCGTCCAACTCCTCGTTCCACAGTGATTTGTACGAGCGTCGAACCATATCAATTTTGTCGGAGGATCCTCTTGGCTGGGATTTTGTCGAGAGGTCGAAACGAGTCGCGTCGAAACGATTTCGTTCTCTTCGAACACCAATCGAGGCGAAGCCTCGGAAAGATTCTATCCGTAGAACTTAGTCGTCTGTATAGATCATTACCGATCGAGTCGTTATCGGTCTACCCCCTCGACCAGCGTTCGGTCGCGGGGTTCCACGGTCTAATTGAAATTATCTTCTAGCCTTAATCTATTGTCTCCTGCTGGCGAATTCTAAATCGATGTCGTAGTGTAATGATTCTAATTCAGAGAGAGGTATCCGCCGTAGGGCTCGACGTGCTCCACCGGGAGATAATAATAATTTTGAGCCATTCGATCGGGCACGGCGAGCCTGGCGTTTTGTCTTCGAGACAAAGAAATCACTAGATCACTAGATCGGCCTTAGGATATTACCTCTCTTTTCATTCAGTCGAGCGGCCTTTTTTTCGAATTTTCTCTTAAGTCTTCCTCTCTCTCTCTCTCTCTCTCTTTCTCTCTCTCTTTCTCATTCTTCGAAGCACGCGGAGTAGTTAATAGTTCCACCCTGTGATATCGACTTCCACGAGTTTTTCTCAACGATGCTTCTGACAGTATCGCAATCGAGATAAGACGAGTTGTGGCTCGAGAATGTGACAAGATGCTTGCACTCGTACGTGGAAATTTAATTTATTCATGCTAGAGAAAATAGATGCGAACGATCATACAATATTGTCACAGCAAGCATAATTAGCAAAAGCGATAGCAATATTGACACAGCTGTAATTAAAGTGGTCGGTAGGATTTTCATACAATTTGCAGACATTATATCTGTGCAGAAAAGAATTTTAACGCTGTAGGGCAGTTACTGTGTAAAGATCGGTAAAATTCTAACAGAATGAGTGAATTGAAAGGCTTAGTGATAGAATTTTCGAATTTTGTCGTCCGTGGATAATCTGAAGACAAAGATCCGTGTTATTTAAATTGTCTGTTGGGAAATGTCTCTGTTTGACTACCACCGTATCGAATTATAGAGTATTTTCAACGGGAGAAGAACAAGGGTTGTGAGGTTGGGATATGCTTCGATGTTGTGAATCGAAGGCTTTATCGACTTTAAGAAGACGCGGCGCAGACTCGTAAATCAACGAGGGAGCGACGTTAACGAGGGAAAATGAGAAGTGATAGACGATCCTGTCGGCTGGCAGATCGAGGACAGGACCCCATCGAAACCCCATTAAGTGTCGTTCCTCCCTTCGAAACCACAGACTTTCTTCAGCAGTCCATCCTTCCCCATCTTTTCTTCGTCCTTCGTTTCCATCTGCCACCTCCGTTAATCGGCTATTAATTCAGCGGACCATTCTCCGTTGACCTTCCCTTTCACGCTGAAATTTATTTAAAAACTCTTCCCGCCACCCCACGAAAATTGAAACCCTCGCGTCTAATTTTAATCAGCCCACTGATTCTGGACCCGGGAAGGTTCCATTAAACGTGGCCCCTCTCCCCCTTGTCCCCCGTCCTCCCAACGAGTTTCCATTTTTCAGCGGTCGACCGACTTCCGCCGACCCATTACTGCGTTAATCGTCCATTAACTCGCGAATTAGCCCTCCCTGATCTTTCACCACCTCCGGGAGAAACTTGCCGAGAAATTACTTCCGAAATAGAATTTCGATTGAGCCGCAACCGTCAATCTTTATCCGCTATTCTCTCTCGAATAACATCGCGCGGTTATAAACAAAATCTCGACTTCTAACTGACGACACACGAGTACAAATTTCCTCGAAAGTAATTGATCGTTTCTCGATTATCGGATCGCTTTGTGAATCATCAAGCTTTGAAATTGGTTTATCCAATTATTCCGCGACAATTTCGCCCGTCTGAAACGAAGATTTTCCATTGGCCTCCTGAGGATCGCGGTCGAGTTTCTTTTAGCATTCGCGAGTTTTATTACCCGAAAGGAAATTCGCTTGAACGCGCGAACGACGATGTAGGGTAGCGTCGGACCGTTTCACCCGACGTCGATTTTAACGGCCGCGGTAACCGGACGATGATCGAGCATGATGTCTGTCAGTTCGCTCCTTTTTTCGCGAACGATCTTTACGACAAGGCGAGCCTGGGTAACCTGCGTGAACCGAGCACCGAGTCAGCGTGGCTTTAAATCAGTGATAAGATTCATATGCACGAAGGAGTACGGGTCGTCGCGACGTGCGCCGTCACCGGCACAACAAATGTGTTCCTGCCATACGCGCGGTGTGCTCCCCTAGTCGTGGTTCTTCTCGAAATTACCGAAATGTACGGAACAAATACGATAGTATATTCTCGTGGAGGAGGCGTTTTTCGTGCCTCCGTGGACGATTTTGCATGCTATTTTGGCTCTCGGATTTTTTTCTCCCTTCGAATAGAT